ATGAATCCAAAATTTGAACCTCTTATTCGTTAGTGTTGTATTAGTTAAACATGAACATAATTGAATTCTATTTTCAGATTTACTTATCGATTTGATCGAGGAGGCTCCAAGGATTCACAAAAGACAATTTGTGACTGGTGAGGTATTTAATAACAACCTTAACAAAAGTATTTTTCTACTTTAATCTTTCGAGATTAATTTCAGTCTCTTATATATGTAGAGTTAAGTAAGCTAATTTTGTTTACTAATAGGAATAGGATCTGTAGTTAAATGATAGTAATTATGTTAATGAAATTAGGAAAAGGGTTAATTAGTCACGTAATACACTCACTTGTGGAAAGTAGAATTTTACATATGAATTAAAAAAAAAACTTTGTCGAAGTGAGTTTAAATAGTGTAAGGTGTAGGTAATGGCAAGCCCTTGACGATGCCACAGAGATTAGTGTTGAGTGGGATGTTGTATTCGTCTCTAAGTGATTTCTCAGGTGATAGAACACTGACGTACAATTGTTGTCCCAAGTATCTTCTCTCCCAGTTCTCTGACCTGATGTTCCACATACCGGCGTTGTCGAATGTCAAGAGAATGGCTGACCAGGACTTAGGATACACTTGCACGGTGTGTCGGCTAACAGCATCGAGCAAGTTGTAGTTCTTCCTCTTCTCTGGTGTCCATCTTCCTGGCTCCGAGCTGTTGTAAAAGCGTTACAAGAAAGTGTTAGGAATACATAATGTTGAATTGGGTTTGAATTGGAAGCTCATGAGTGGAACTTACGCGACAGCGAAGAAAGAGTAACCGTCCAAATGGAATGATGCCATGCTTTTCTCGTGGTTCTCGAAGATGATTTCGACAAAGGTACGGAAAGTGATGTTGAGGACATTGGGCTCGACGGTTAGTTTTGTGATCTTGGCTGCTGGTTCGTCCTTGATGACGTTGTATTTGAAGATCTTCTCGGCCATACCGAAGTACTCAGCAAGCTTCAAGGGAGTCTCGCCGTCGACGTGTGATACACCGTTGAAACCAAATCTAATCTTTCCATCAACCATATTCTTGGTGTTGGCAAGCTTGATGGTACGCGTAATGTTGATCTTTCCGTAATGGTAAGATCCTTGTGGGTTAGGTCTAGCCGCACTGGCGGTCAAGTTCCATCTGAAGGACCTGAACTGGTTAAGAGACCAAGCCCATCCGACCGGAGCCATAGGGAGCACATTTGAAGCCTCAGCCTTGCTTCCTTCGTAGCTCATAACACCAACAGTGCTCACTTCCTTCTTGAGGAATCTAGTGGATGCAACCATGTAGTAGTTCTTGGCCGTTTGGTCAGCGGTCACAAGAACGGCGAAGCACTGTCCGATGTGGACGTCGAGTGAGTCGTAATCGTTCTGGAGAACGTGAGATCCTTCCATCTCAACAAGCTTCATCTTGTGTCCTTGGATCCTGAAGTTAAGTGTGGATTTGAATCCAACATTGCAAATCCTGAACTTGTAAGTCTTTCCTGGCTTCATGGTGAAGAGTGGCTCGTTCTTTCCACCAACCTTACCGGATTTTCCGTTGATAAGAACACCATCGGGTAATCCAAGAGTGCGACCACTGTCAAGGAAGTTCTTGAGAGCGGTGTGGCTCTTGGTGTACCAGTCGTTGATAAGGATGGTGTGGTCGTCCTCGGGGTCAGCGTAAGGGACCGGGATGAGGAGACGGCTGTTGACACGGAGGCCACCGAAAGCACCGGAGAAACGGTGGAGAGAAGTGGTTGGATAATAGAAGTAGCTACCGATCTGATCCTTAGGCTGGAAATGGTATGTGAAGTTGGTTCCTGCTGGGATGGGGCATGAGGTCCCAGCAACACCATCTTGCCAGCTGTTCTTCCTGTGCTGGAGTCCACTCCTGCCATTGTAACCCAACCATATGGTCAGGACTCAATATCCAAATTTACAATCAAGACTAGCTATATATAATAGGTGTGGCCATATTACCGTAGCTAATGCAAAACAAATTTTAAATCAAAACTGAACCAAAATGTGTTTTTTATGCTTATTCATTTGGTTTTATTATTTTAGTGTGACCAATTAAATCGAATAAGCTAAAATATAGATTTAACTTTGTCAAATTAAGTAAAAAATATCAAACAATTCAATTGAACGATCTAAAGAGATTTTGAGTAAACCAGAATCCGAAATAATATAACTAACCAAGTTCTATATCATCTGTTTGTGTTTATATTTTTTTCAATCAACCCTAGAATATTAAAGATCTTAGAGAAAATCCATTTGTTAACTGTAGAGGAAAACATCAAACGAAATGAGAATTTCAATTTGCATTTGGCATCTGACCTTTGCAAATTCCTTTTCTT